TGAGAAAAGTAAACTTGAAAGTAATCTTGACTAAAATTTAATGGATTTCCGATGAATATTTCCGCGAGGGAATTCAATTAACTTTCAATTAATCAGGAGTGTGTGTGTATATATATAAAGCTCATGGGTCCGCTGCATCGAGATACTATCCAAATGAATCGCGTTCGTAAGTTGTGCGGGGGGAATTAAATTTTAATCTGTTCCGGTATTAGTTATGGATTTATGTTTGTTATACCACCGACACGAAACATTGCACCTACCAGTCTCTCGTGGAAATGGCCAAGAGAGATAGAGAGAGTGAGAGAGAGAGAGAGAGAAAGGAGAACTCGACCTCCATGAGGAGCCACGAGGAGCCAGAGCTTGTTGGTATCCCACCCGCTGATGCCGCCCGTAGTATTGGCTCTTCTAACAAATTGTCTTGTTCCAAAAAGAAAAAAAACGAAATTTCAATAAAAAACCAAACTTTATATCTTTTATTGATTTACAATCAATTGGAAATTCCCAGCTGAAAAAGTTCTATAGAATTTCACTAGAATCATTATTCTTTTTTCAAATAAAAGTAGCAATTTTAAAAAATAATAGAATTAAAAAATTTTCTAATTTAATTTTTTGTTTAAAAACACTAAAAAAAAATTCAATTTTTGGAGAAATTACAAACAATTACAGAAATTCAATTATTTAAAAAAAATAAAATTCTTTTTATAAAATTCAACTATGTTCAAAATTTGAAAAAAAATTCTCGTTAAAATCCCAATTATCTTTATAAATTACAAAATTCTTCTACAATATTCAATTATTTTCATAAATGTCAAAAAAATTCTTGTCCTAATTTCAATTCTTTTCAAAAATAAAATTCATTTTTCTAATTTCAATGATTTTCAATATCTACTATTTTAATAAAATTTCCCAAAAAAAATTCAATTATTGAAAAAACATTTTAATAAAATTGCATGCAAACATTTAATTAGTTTCATAAGTAATAAAAATTATTTTACAGGAATTCAATTATTTTTATGAATAATAAATTTTTTTTTAAGGAATTCAATTATTTTCATAAAAAATAATTTAAAATTCTAGAAAATAATAATTGAATTAAAATGATGAAAATAATTTTGATGAAGTTAGAGTAACAATATTTTTATAATATAAAACAATTATTTTATCTCTCGGTCATCTTTAATTATTAGAAAACATGAAGAAATACTTTTATAAATTGTTTAATTTAAAAAAGGTTTGAATTTGAAATTTTTGAATGTCTTAATAATTCTTGTGGAAAATCCTGTTCCAAAAATAAAGATTAAAAATAGGAATTGTGCAAATATTTTTCTTCTTTTTCTAAAACAAAATAATAATTTTGTTAAAAAAATTGTGATTCATAAAGAAAAATAATGCAAAATAAATAAATTTTCTATTTCTCAATCACAGTTTTTTTAACAATTTTCTAATTTTGTTTAGAAGTAAAGAACAAAAATCTGGATGATTTCAATTTGACAAACGAACAAAATAATTGAAGGCTTCCAACGAATTTTAATGAAATTTTGAAAAATAATTGAATTCTTGCAACGAATTTTATTAAAAATTTTGAAAAATAATTGAATTCTTCCAACGAATTTTATTAAAATTTTGAAAAATAATTAAATACTTGCAACGAGTTTTATTACAATTTTCAAAAACAATTAAAGCCTTCCAACGAATTTTATTAAAATTTTTGAAAAATAATTAAATACTTGCAAAGAATTTTATTAAAATTTTTTCAAATAATTGAAATTTTGCCAAGAATTTTATTTAAATTTTTGAAAATAATTGAATTTTAGTAAAAATTTTTAAAATAGTTGAATCCTTGTAACGAATTTTATTAAAATTTTGAAAAATAATTGAACTCTTGCAACGAATTTTATTAAAATTTTGAAAAATAATTGAACTCTTGCAACGAATTTTATTAAAATTTTGAAAAATAATGGAATTTTTGCAACAAATTTTAATAAAATTTTTAAGAATAATTGCATTTTTCGAGAAATTAGATTAAAATTGTATTAAAAATAATTGAAATTCTGCATTGAGTTTTATTATTTATGAAAATAATTGAATTCCAAAGAAGAATTTTACTATTTTTTAAAATAATTAAATTCCAGCGAAAGATTTTATTATTCTTGAAAACAATTGAATTTCGGCAATAATTTTGTAATTTTTCCAAAATTAAATTTTTTTTTTCGTGTTTTTAACTAAAATTCTTCTTTAAATCAATTAATTTTAATAATTCTTGAAATAGTTGTTTGAGAATTTTTAAATTCATTTGTTTTTAACTGAAATTCATTTTTAAATTAATTTTTATTATAAAATTCTATGAGAATTCAATTATTTAAATAAAAAAAAAATTTTTTTTTAATTTTTTAATAATGATTACATTTATCGAGGAATTTGATTAAAATTTGATTAAAAATAATTGAAATTTTGCGATGAATTTTACTATATTTATATATGAAAATAATTAAATTCCTAAAAAGTATTTTATTTTTTTTTTGGAAAAATAATTGAATCCCTGTAAAAATGTTATTATTTATAAAAATAATTTAATTATATTGAGAATAAATTTTTTTAAAAAATTTTGTAAATAATTTAATTTCTGTGAAATTTTTATTATTTTATGAAAATAATAGATATTACAAAAATATACAATGTGAAATATTTGCAAAATTTCTGTATGGAAATTTTTACGGAATTCTTTACGGAATTTCCGTAGAATTATTTCAGGGGGGGGGGTTTTAACCCGGTGGCGAAATTTTTTTATTATGTAGAGAGATAATGGTTAATAAATTCATCTTATTGTTATTATAAATAATATTCTAAATTATTATAATAAAGCGAATTAAATTAAAAAATTTTCCATTTGAGAATATTATTCGGTTCGCGCATTAAAAACGATAGAGATTTCGTAATGTATTGCAGCATGAGCATAATATATTGTACAACATACGTATGTATTTTAGAGAAAGAGAACCTATAACTGTGGTCCAGTTTGTATCTTCTATGGGTCTATGAACATGCATAAATCATTGGACTTGTACTCCTAAAATTCATCAAGTATTCAATTTTAATTTCCTTCGTGCAAAGCTTATCTCTCTCCTATCTAGCAATTCATCTCCTGTCTCACCATCTTTCTATCTCTTTCATTTTACATATATATATACATATAGAGTCTAGACATTACTATTGATTTTACAAAAAATTATATCATTGTTAAAATTTATTTCCCTGTTTTCAAAAAAATTAAATTTACATATTATTATTATTACACATTATCAAAAAAAAGAAGAGGGGGTTCTTATTGCGGCAGTATTCATAAAATGTGATATGAATACACGCAACAATAACAAAAATGAAATGAGAGGCAATAAATGAGGGTTAAAGTGTAGGAGAATGTGGAGGACGTCATTTTTTTTGTAGGTCAACCCCCCACTCTTTAAAGTGGCCTTATCGTGTGGACTTTCAGTTCTCGTGTTGCAAGCTTCTCTAATTGCAAGCTTGAACATTGCAGCGCCTTCAAGCTTTCTCAAGACGGATGCAAGGGGAAAAAATCAATACAACCTCGTTAACAGATTTTTTTTTTTTTTTTCAATAATTTTTATTTGTATTTGACTAAAAACCAAATTTAAAAATATGTGAAATAATTTTTACAATAGGATACGATAATTAAAAATTTTAATTTATTAAAAAAAGGTTGTCTTTAATAATTGTGTGGGAAAAAATAAAAATTATTGAAGTAGCTATTTTGGCATTGAGCAGAAAATGGAACTAAATTTAAATAATATGTTAACAATTGGCGAAAAAAAAAATGAAGTGAAGAATAATAGAAAGAAATTCTGAGTAGAAGGAATAAAAAATGAGTGTAATGAAAGTATGAGAGTAAGGAGAAATGAGGACATGTACCAAAAGGATTGAAGGGACAGAGGAGAGAGTGAGAGAGAGAGAGAGAGGAAAGAGGATATCTGAGGCATTATCTTTTAATCAAATACATTAGAGAAAATTTATCGTGCTCTGGTGAATTAATTAAATGCCAAAGGATAAATTCTCGCCACTTTCCCAAAGCTCAACGGCACTGCCAACATGAAATTTAACATTCAATAAAATAAATCGTCTCGACCCTCGAAAATCGTTCGCTCCTCATCCCTTAAAGTCTCAAGCCCTTCTCACTTTACTCTCTTCTTCCTCTTTTCCCGACTGCTGTTGACATTATGGACTTTTGTCATTTGAATTCGAGTACTTTTTCATTTTATATATTGTATTTATTTTTATACAAAAAAAAAAAATGAAAGGAAACGATCTTTTTAATTTCAATCCGATATTTTATTTCCTTGCAGGGAAATTTTATTTTTTTTTTTTTTAGACACTATTGATGAATATTAGTTTCTTATTATGAAATATGTTACATTTTATAGAAACAATTTTATTGCCGTAATAGAAAATCACTTAATGTATAATGAGACTGAGAGAAGTCTGGTTGTCGGAAGCCGCAAGGAATTAGAAAACCTGGTTTCGACAGTCAGAGGATTACGGTTGGACCCTCTCAAAGGACGCGACAGATGTATAATTAACATCGTTCATTAACTTCTTTCCTTCTAATGGATTTCTGAATCCCTATATAGAAATGAAAAACATACTTTACGTAACTAAAGAATCAAGATAAGTTGTTTTTTTTCTCCTCGGTAAAAAAAAAATTTATGTTCGAATCAAAATTTTTTTTCTTATACTATAGAAAACCAAGCTCTTGAATTTCACCAAAAAATTTATTTCTTCGAATGAAGAACTATATATTTGAATATATTTTCCTCTCTCAAAATTATTTCCAAATAATCATTTTCAACAAATTTTCAGATATATTCTTATTTGCTTTTTTTATTTTCAACAAATTTTTAAAATCAGTAAAATCATTTAAAAAATCTTTTCATCATTTTCTTTTTTTTTTTTTTTTTTTTTTTGGTTATAGAAAGAAAAATATAAAATTTCAATTGAAATAATTTTCTTTATTCAATGCAAAATTTTTGTAATTATACAAAATGAATACAAATTCATTGAATATTTTCAAAACAATAGTTTAATAATATAAACTACGTCCCATATTTGCAATCCAACCGTTATCGTCATTTGAAGTACCATATGCTGGTATCACATTCCTTTTTATAGAACCTGCATTTCTAAAAAATTTAAATTTAAAATTTTACATTATATTCATAATTTTAATATTTTCTAAAAATTAAATTCAGACTTGTAAATATTATATTCTAACACAAGAAAATTTTTACCTTTTCTGTTGCGTGTCTTTAGACTGACTAGATAATGCAGCTGGATCGAGTTTAATAATAATAAAAATACATTTGTTAGTTCTTTTTTTATTATATTTGTCCACGAAATAATGTTTTTGAAAAGAAAATGTACATTTTTATTCTTTGCGCACGAAAAAAAAAAATGTAAAAAATTGGATATTTCTATATCTCACTAAAATATTAAAAATAATCATTTTCAATAAATTTCAAGGCTCATTGTTATCTGGATTTTTTAATTCCAAAAATGTTTAAAAATAAAAAAAATCAATATTTAATATTCATATATTTATATCGAATAATAAATATTTTTAAAATAATAATTTATATTTGTATTTTTTTCAAAACAAAATGTAAATATTTTTTTTCGTATTTTTTTATTATTTGCGAACGAAAAAATTATGTAAAAAATTGGATATTTCTATATCTCACTAAAATATTAAAAATAATCATTTTCAATAAATTTCAAGGCTCACTGTTATCTGGATTTTTTAATTCCAGAAATGTTTAAAAATCAAGAAAATAAATATTTATTATATTTCTATATTTATACCTTTAGGTGTTGATGTTTCACTTCTAAAAGAATATAATTAAAATGTTATTTAATGAATAAATAATATAAATAATATTATCGTAATAATAATGAGAATGTAAAAATGATTTTTTTTCGTAAAAACTGAATAAATTTTTCTATTTTTAAGCAACTGGGTTAAATGAATAAAAAATTTAGTTTGCACATTTAAATAATAATTAATAAATAAAATATATAATTTTATAAACTAAATTTATCTTTATTATTAAAATTTGAAAATTTACTTTGCTTTATTCTTGTTTTTATAGGAATCAGGCCAAAAGATAGGCACCGCGATCTGAAAAATAAAAAGTGAAACAGTATTAGAAAATTAAGATTTTATAATTTTTTGAAATTCCAAATCAGGTGAATTTCTAAGTGTTTTCTTTTAAATAATATATTAATTATTATAAAAAGAGAATATAAAATATTTTACCGGTCCCTGTGAATTGACGTTCACTGACATTAAAACACACATTAATATTACTATTTGAATTAATAACAGTTTCATTTTTCCAAAAAATTGAAATTATTCGATATTTAAAGAAATCTTTTCTTAAATTATTTTAAACAAAATGTACGTGGAAGAATTTCTGTTGGAAAATTCTAAACCAATGTCTCTATTTAAATGGAAAAAACTATAAAAAAATCTTTTTTGTCGTGTCTAAATATAAGAAAAAAATAAGTTTCAATCATTTTTTCAAATAAAATGTTTGTCATTATCTACAGTTTTTGCGATAAATGCTTTCAATATTAAAATTCTATTTTTTATGAATTTTGCTTACAAAGCAATAGTAATAAAATGTTTTCAATAATTTTTAAATCTAAGCACTATCTACTTTTTTTATTTGAAAAATTTTCAAGCAGTAAAAAAAATATTAATGAAAATATGATTCTTTTTTATGAAAAAAGATAAAATCGAAAATTCTTTCTTTTTTTTAAATAAATAATGTTTTACTTCAATAAATAAATTTTTAATTAAATTAAAAATTATGAACTGTTTTTGTAAATAAATAAATAAATAAATAAATAAATAAATGAAATATAAAATATAAAGTTTTTAAGCAGCAAAAAAATATTAATGCAAATATTTTTCTTTTTTATGAAAAAAGATAGAATTGAAAATTCGTTCTTTTGTTTAAAAATAAATAATATAATAATATAATAATATAATAATATAAATAATTTTTACCTAAATAATTCTTTTCTTAAAAAAAAATTTATTTGATAAGTTTATACATTTACAGTTTGTATTTTAAATTTATGAAAAAAATAATTGAATCTAAAAAGAATTTTTATTTTTGAACAATATTTAATTTTTTGAATAAATAAATGATTTATTGCATAATTAAATGTTTCTTAAAAATTCAATTCCTATAAAGAATTTTATCAACAAGTTTTTAAATAATTGACGTCTTTCGACGAATTTTAATAATATTTTTAAGAATACTTACATTTTTCCAGAAATTTGATTAAAATTGTATTAAAAATAATTGACATTCTTCGATGAGTTTTATTTATTTATGAAAATAATTGGATCCCTAAGAAGAATTTTATTACTATTGAACAATATTTAATTTTAGCGAAGAATATTATTACTTTTAAAAATATAATTGAATTTCTGCAAATCATTTTTTCAAAATTAAATTTTTTTTCGTGTTTTAAGTAAAATTCTTCTTGAAATTGATTATTTTTTAATAATCTTTGAAAAAGTTCTTTGAGAATTTTCAAATTCATTTGTTTACAATGATTAAAGAAATAAAAAATGTGCAAATTTTATATAGTTTTTTTTATTGAATAAATCCAATTAATATTTATCATCGAACAGAATGAACTTCGTCGAATTTAAAAATATTATAATTATTGAAATTAAAAGGGCATAAGCTGCATCCATTCTGAATGAGTGACGTCTTTAAGAGGGTCTGAGGGTTTTACTTTTTTTGGAGTATTATTTTCTTTTTGAATCGGTGCTGATCTTTCCTTTCTAAAAGAATATAATTAAAATATTATATAATGAATAAATAATATTATCCTAATAAAAAAATTATTTTTTCCTTAAAAACTAAATAAACTTTTCTATTTTTTAACAACTATTTTAAATAAATAAAAAATTTAGTTTTCATATTTAAATAATAATTAATAAATAAAATGAATAATGTTATAAACTATATTTAAATTTGTTATTCAAATTTCAAATTTTTACTTTGCTTTATTTTTGATATTAGGGACATATGGCTGAAAGAAAGGCGCCATGAACTGAAAAATAAAAAGTGAAACAGTATTAGAAAATCGAGATTTTAGAATTTTTCTGAAATTCCAAATCAGGTGAATTTCTAAGCGTTTTTTTGTTTAAATAATATATTAATTATTATAAAAAGAGAATATAAAATATTTTACCGATTCCTGTGAAGTAACGTCCACTGCCATTAAAACACATACTAATATTACTATTTGAATTAATAACAGTTTCATTTTTCTAAGAAATTGAAATTATTCGATATTTAAAGAAATTTTTTTAAAAATTATTTTAAGCAAAATGTAAGTTTGAACGAATTTTTGTTGGAAAACTCTAAATTAATGTCTCTATTTAAATGGAAAAAACTATTAAAAAATTTCTTTTGTCGTGTTTAAATATAAGGAAAAAATAATTTTCAATAATTTTTTCAAATAAATTTTTTTGTCATTATTTACGGTTTTTACGATAAATGTTTTCAATATATTAAAATTCCACTCTTTTTTATGAATTTTGCTCACGAAGCAATAGTAATAAAATATTTTCAATAATTTTTAAATTTAACCAATCTTACTTATTTTATTTCAAAAATTTTTAAGCAGTAAAAACAGAATATTAATGAAAATATTTTTCTTTTTTATGAAAAAAAAGATAGAATCGAAAATTCGTTCTTTTGTTTAAAAATAAATAATGTATTACCTTAATAAATAAATTTTTAATTAAATGGTAAAATATAAAATATAAAATATAAAATATAAAATATAAAATATAAAATATAAAATATAAAATATAAAATATAAAATATAAAATATAAAATATAAAATATAAAATATAAAATATAAAATATAAAATATAAAATATAAAATATAAAATATAAAATATAAAATATAAAATATAAAATATAAAATATAAAATATAAAATATAAAATATAAAAAAGTAAAAAAAAATATTAATGAAAATATGTTTCTTTTTTCTGAAAAAAAATAGAATCGAAAATTCGTTCTTTCTTTAAAAATAAATAATATTTTACTTAAATAAATAAATTTTTAATTAAATATAAAAATGTTTAGTTTTATAAATAATTTTTACTTAAATAATTTTTTTCTTCAAAAAATAGTTTTTGCTAAGTTTACATATTTACAACTGTATTTTTAATTTATAAAAAAAAATTTGCAAGAAAAATGATGATTTTGAGTCAAAAAAAAAAATAAATAAAATTCGAAACAGTTTTTGTATTTGAAGGGATTGAAATTGCAATTTTCAAATAGCGAGTTAACACGGCGATCATTAACCTCGCGGCACATAATCGTATAGCTTTATCAATAGAAGATCGTAATGAGTTCGAAGATAATAGCAGCCTATCAGTCTTCAGCTATGGAAACAATGATGGATGTAGTCAGGGATTTCGTGCTCCTGAACAACAACGGCAATCTAGTTACCATTTTGCTTTCAAAACAACCATCTAACAATAAGAAATTGTTCTCAATATTCTTTGAATTATCCTCTTATTATATTTTAAGCGATCTTCAAATTTTTTATTTATTTTTCTTTCATTCTTTTATTTAATTTTAATTTCAGTCGGAAATTAAAAAAATAAAAAGAAAAAAAAAATAAATAAAAAGATTCTTTCTTTTTCTTTAATTATTTTTCTTTTTCTTTCTTTTTTTTATTTAATTTTAATTTCAATCGGAATTAAAAAAAATTTTATTCAATCGAGAAATAAAGGAATAGAAAGAAGCTTTATAGTTCGATAAAGAAATTTTTGCTTTACAAGAGGCAAAAAATTCTACGAGAAATTAAAAAGAAAAAAAAATAACTTGAGTCAAAATGCAAGTTTTCGTAATTCCGCACTCAGTGATAAAATCTCAATTTATAAGTGTCCTGCCAGTGGTAATATCGAAGACCAAATGTAGGAGGAAGGCTTTCTTACCCAGAGGCATATGGTATCAGGACGATGATATTACTCGAGAGCACGCGACTACTTAACATGCAAATGCATGAAAGCAATAAACTACTCAATACATTGCCGAGAATTTACCCTATCGATTTTTGTTTCTACACTCTGTTTTCATAAGTTTTAAATTTTATCCAATAAAAGAGTTTTAATGATTCTAAAATATTTATTTAACATCTTTGCATTTAGTTTTTTTCTTTCTTCTTTTCTTTTCGTTCCTAAAGTAAAGAAATTGAATTAATAATCAAGATCAATGATTATAGGAATCATAATAATGAATTTTTAATTTTTTTCGATCTTATCGTATTTTTGTATATATTGAAGGTCGTTCATCGAAGAAATTTAGAGACGAGAAAAAAAAACTGACAAGTCATGTTAACGGGCGTTAAAATAAAAGCCGACCACCGGTTGCTTGTCATTAAATTGTTAGATCTGCATTAGGCTATAAGTCAGATCACGAAAACGAATGAATCGATCTCTAATGCATTCGCCCAATTTTAATAATGGACAAAAATCTACTTTTTGCCCTATTTCATCCAATTACTTTAATTGACTACTCAAGTCTACTGTTTGATTTTAAGTATAATCCTTTATAAGAGACTTCTTGTTTCTTTTTTCAGTACTTCATTTTTATTGTAATTCTTATTCTTATTCTTAATTCTTACATACTAAATAACTTGTTTCTTCTTTTTGAAAAAATTTATTACAGAATAAAAGATTAAGTTTCGAATTTAAAATATTTAAAGAATTTAGAGAATAAATATAATAATATTAATAATTTAAGAATTTAATAATTCAGGATTATTATCTAAAATTTTAACTAAAATTCATTTTTCTGAAATGTAAATTAATTTTTATTAGAAAATTCTACTAGAAATCAATTATTTAAATAATTAAAATAAATAAATAATTTATTGAATAATTGAATCTCTCTCAATATTGAATTCTCATAAAAAATTTTATCAACAAATTTTTAAATAATTGATTTTCTCGAGGAATTGAAAATAAATTTTTAAGAATAATTACATTTTTCGAGAAATTCGATTAAAATTATGCATTAAAAATAATTGAAATTCTGCGATGAATTTTATTATTTGCGAAAATAATTGACTCCGTAAGAAGTAGTTTTATTATTTTTGAACAATATTTAATTTTTGCGAAGAATATTATTAATCTTGAAAATAATTTTATTTCTGCAATAATTTGAAAATTTTCCAAAACTAAAAAATATATTTTTTTCCTGTTTTTGAATAAAATTTTTCTATAATTGCATTATTTTTAATAATTTTTGAAAAAGTTGTTTGAGAATTTTCTTATTCATTTGTTTACAATTCAAATTTACAAAATTTCAATTACTCGTAAATTTTTCAATTAAATATAATATATTAGAAAATAAGTTTAATTTGAAATCGTTTCAAAATCCTAAGAAGAATTTTATTATTGTTGA